GGCGCCCCGCCTCGTCCCACGGCCTCGGGGCTGGACGTGCCCGCTTCTGGATGCAAGTGCAGGAGGCTCGGAGTTTTGAAAAATAGCAACAAAAGCAGCGCGGGTGACCCCTCGGTCACGGTCCGTTCTGGACGATCACTTTGCTCGGCTACACCTTGCGCTAGGGCCGGAGCTACTGAGTGCGCGGACCTCGCCGCCGACGCCTAGACCGCGAGCTCCCCGCGGGGCGAATCCCGGGGTCCCGCCCGCAGGCCCCCGCCCGCCGACTCACCTGCTTGAAGCAGAAGGGCATGGTGAGGACGCTGACCCCCACGATGCTGTTCACTATGTTCATGATCAGCCCCCAGTTGGAGGCGGCGGCCGCGGTCATAGCGCGGGCTCTGGGGCCCGGGAGCCCGGGTGTGCGGCGCCGGGACCACCGCGGGGCGCGAGGCCCTGACAGGCGCGGGCGGCTGCCTGGAGGAGGCGGCCTCGCGGGAAAGCGGCGGGGCCGTCAGCCTGCAGACGCCGCCAGGCCCCGCGGCCGCCCCATGGCAGCGTCTCTGGCTCACTCACTGCCGCCGGCCGCCTCCGCGCCCCCGCGCCAAACCCGGAAGAGCCGCCAGCTGCCAACTCGGCACAGCTCAGCCCGGCTTCGGGGCTGCCCGCGGGCGCACACTTCCGCCTTCCGCCGACTACGCCTCCCGGAAGTGACGACACGGAGCGAGCCCAAGAAGAGCAGGAATGGGCGGGGCCTGCAAGGAATAGCGGGCTCGGCGGGGCGGGGCCTTCAAGGGCGGGGCTAGGGAATTAGGAGCCAATGAGGGTCAGGCACTGTCACGGGGGCGGGTCTGGAGGCGTGGCCAGGCGGCCTCCGAGCTGAGCACCTTTGCAGGAGTCACGCTGGCCTCCTGCGGAGTCCGGCTGCTGAACCCCGCCCGGCAGCGGCTGGGGCACTGGGGACTCGCACGGAGAGCCCCGGTCGGGAAGGAAAGCGGAGGGCAAGAGGAAAATGGCCGCGCCGCGCCTCCCGGGGAAAAGCCGGGTTCCAAGCGTTCAACTGAGCGATTACAGCTAGGGCAGCAGTCGGGGTGTGCTTGGTGTCCTCTGGGCTCGCGGGCAGGGCCTTCACTCTTGGTCCTTCGTGCACGCGCTGCTTTCTGGACGGATTAGCTGCTGATTTTTGTTGGTTTAAATGTTTTTAATTGATTTCAGAGAGGAAGGGAGAGGGAGGGAGATAGAAGCATCCATGATGAGAGAGTCATGGATCCACCGCCTCCTGCACACCCCGCACTGGGGATGGAGCCTGCAACCTAGGCCTGTGCCCTGACCGGGAATCCAACCGCGCCCCCCTGGTTCATAGGTGGACGCTCAACCACTGAGCCATGTGGCGGGGCAGTCCTATTTGGTGACGTGCGTGTTCACACTTGCCCATGTTCCTAATTAGCAGTTTGTCTGCTCTTATGCATTCCATGTGCGTGATAACCAACGTGGTGTCCCTCGGTCTGGGTTTGCCAGATGTCTCCCCCCGAGACTTGTTCTTCATTCTGTCCTAACAAATCACTGCAAACTTAGCAGCTTCGCCAACACCCATCCATCGTCATGCTGGCAGACCTTGGTCCCTTCGGGCAGCGTTTTCTTGCCAGTTGTAAACTGTGGTCCCTTCAGGGCTTCTAGGGGCTGCGGTGTTCCCTGGCTCATGGCCCCCTTCTTGCAACTTCAAAGCCAGCAGCAGGGATGGAGGATGGGGCTGGGGGGGGAGGGGCGCAAAGAGGGGGACCCAGCCAGGGAAACTTTTCCAGTTTTCAGGATTCATGTGCTTAGACTGAGCCCATCGGGATAATCCCCATCAAGGTCTGTGCCGTAATCACATCTGCAAAGTCCCTTTTGCCGTGTAAGGTAACATGCTCACAGGTTCCAGGAGTTGAGGGGACACCCCTTTGGGGCGGTGGCATTATTCTGCCAACCACACTCGTGCTGAGATTCAAATTATGTTCCTTTAGCAGAAACACCACGGAGGTGTGTGTGACCCATGTGTCCACGAATGCTGGCACATGCTTCTCGGCCTCAGCTCGTCCCGCAACCCACGCTGTGCTCCTGGTCACTCGGCGAGACGGGCTTCCCCGCCGGAAAGTTACATCTTTGTGACGAATGACTGGTTCGCGGGAGGTACTTTGAAATGAAACAGCCTAGGCCTGCACGGCCGGGTGCTCAGTGCTTGAGCATTGACCTATGAACCAGGAGGTCACGGTTCGATTCCCGGTCAGGGCACAGGCCCGGGTTGCAGACTTGGTCCCCAGTGTGGGGCGTGCAGGAGGCAGCAGATCAATGATTCTCTCTCATCATGGATGTTTCCCCCTCTCTCTTTCTCCCTCCCTCTCTGACATCAATAAAAAGGTATTTAAAAATAAACAAAGACAGCAAGTTTTCATTAGGTCTGGAGGCCACAACCGTGGCACCGTCGGGGAGAGAACGGACTGGACCCAACGATCACTCTTACGCCACTCGGACCCAATCCCCAGCGGCCTGTGTGTGAGCGCGGGGGGCCTGGTGTGGCCTCTGCAGACCTGGTCCCCCCCACCCCACCCGGGGCATCCCCTCTCCCTGCGCTGAGTGGGAGCCAGCAGCCAGGCCCTGCCCAGCAGCCACATGGGAAGAGTGTCCCCAGACCCATCCGAGAGGACCCTGGACAAGCTGCAGGGACGGTGTGACCTTCTGAGGTCCCTGAGCTCAGACAAGAGCTGCCGGGGACCATCGTGGCCACGGGAGGGAACGGCCCTGAGCCTCATTATCCTCCCGCGACGAGGAGGGGGCTGAGCACTCATGCAGATGAAAACCAGCTCTCACCTACTTCGTCTCCTTTTCTACAAATCCCAGCAGGAGGGAGAGCTGCACGGCCACAGAGCCGCCCATGCAGACACGGGGCCACGAGCACAGGCCCGGCTCCTTCCCGCGGCCTCAGCGCAGGCTCCCGGGGCCTCGGAGGGCGTGGGTCCCCACGGTGGGACCCGGACATTCCCAGGTGGGACGGGGCGCAGGTGCAGTGCGGCCATTGCTGAGCACCGCCCCTTCTGGCTTCATCCTCCTGATGCACCAAGCAGACCAGGCACGGGCCCTGGACCCCCCGCACCCGACCCCCAGCCATCAGGCCACACGGCTCCTGGCCTCCTCAGCCAGGACACTAGGCCCGGGGCAGCCAGGCAGTCCCAGGGCTGCCTCTGTCCAGCTCAGCCTGGCGGTTTGGGGTGAAGCTGGGCTGAGACCCTGGCCCGCACAGCCCGCCCCGCTCCGCCCCCCGCCCCAACGGCCGACCGGGAGACCTTCCAGGACACAGAGGTGGCACTTGTCTCCCCTAAGAGCTGTGCCCCAAACGGGGCTGGACCCGACACCACGATCACCATGGGCCCTGCCCAGGCTCCCCTGAGAGCTGTGACCCGCAGGGGACAGGGCGACCCTGGAGGTCAGAGGGTCCCACCTCCGGAAGCCGTGCCCCTCCCTCACTGTCAGAGCACCAGAGCCCCTGCAAGCGGCCCCAGCAGACCCCGAGGGAGCCTGTCACTGACTCCTGTTTGCCAGGTTTGAGGCCAGGGCTATGCAGGGGGTGGAGGGGGGCAGACACAGCTGGGAGTCCCGGGGCACAGCTGGGCGGGATCCAGGCTCCCCATCCAGCAGCTGCAGCCCTTGGGCCCCTGCGCCCTGGCCGCCCCGCCCCGTGGGGGGCAGCAGCCAACCTGGGAGAGGAATGCAGGAATGCGGCAGGGCAGGGCGGCGGGGCGGGCATGCCTGGGCCCCGCCCGCAGGCCGAGAGAGTCCCCAGCTGTGCAGAGGCCAGAGGCCCGGCAGAGGGAGCCCAGCAATTAGGGCCCGACAGCCACGTGGGGATGGAGCCGGGAGCACAGGTGGGAGTGGGGGGCGGGGAGACGGCTCTCCCTGGGGCCTGTGTCCTGGGAGGGGCTGGGGCTGGACCTGGAGGAGGGCAGCCCCCATGGACACAAGGGCCTGCCCAGCAGGAAGGCTGCAAGGGGCCAGGGGCAGGGGTGGCAGCCCCAGCCTCCATCTCCTGATCCGAGGAGGAGCCTGTGAGAGACACCCCCCCCCCAACCCGAGGACCGCACAGGCGTCTGCATCTGAGCTCGGTTGCCTCACCCCGTCACAGCCCCAGAAGGAAACCAGTGAGGCCCACCGAGGGCCTGGTGCACAGCAGGGGCTGGCCCCCGGGACCCCCTTCCCAACCAGCACCGCCCACCTCTCCCCGCAGGCCAGGCGCTGGGCCCTGGGGTGGAGGAGCAGTCACAGTCCCTGCGGAGAGGCGGGCGGAGGGGAAGAGGCCGTGTGGGGAGCAGCAGGTGTGCGGGCGTGGGCTGGTGTTATTGTTGCTGTGGTTTGGGGGCTGAGACACAGGCGAAGTTTTCAGGCAGTGCGGGAGGGGGCGTGGAATGCCGGGCCACAGGAATGCTGAGCCCCAGGCCCGGCCCCCATCGGGGCTACCCACACTTGGACTCCCAGCCCAGGCTCCCCCAGCTGTTGCCACCCTCCTGGGGTAGAGGGAGGGGCCCCCCACTGCCTGCACCTGACCCGGCTGTCGGCAGGGGCCGCCTCGGAGAGGACAGGCTGAGGCCCCAGGGTCAGCCGTGCTGGAGAGCAGGGTCACCAGGCAAGGCGGCCAGGCCATCCCAACTCCCGGCTCAGGGCTCCGTCCAGACTGCCACACAGCCCCGTGGTCCTGCCCATGCCCGATGCCGCCAGCTGGGGGACGGGGCCAGGAGAAGAAGACCCCTCCGCCTCCCTCCATGCCGGCAGGAGTGGGGCGGCCACTGGCCTGGTACAGCGGGCAGAGGGTTCAGGGTGCACGGCAGCCCGGCGGCATGGCTCAGGGGCTGAGCGCCCACCTATGAGCCAGGAGGTCACGGTTCAATTCCCGGTCAGGGCACAGGCCTGGTTGCGGGCTCCATCCCCAGGGTGGGGCGTACAAGAGGCAGCCGATCCATGATGCTCTCATCATTGGTGTTTCTCTCCCTCCCTCTCCTTCCTCTCTGAAATCAATAAAAATATATTTTAAAAACAAACAAAAAAAGTGCACAGCCGCTGCTCCACACCCTCCTCAGGCCTCAGTCTCGGCCCAAGCCCCAAACACAGGCTTTCGTGGCTCTCCCTCCCGCTGCAGCCCCGGCCTCAGAGCCCCGCCTTGAAGAAGCCAGGCCTTTCCCGGCCTCAGCCCAACAGAGCCTCCCCCCATCGCACGCGTCTCCCACAGAACCTGGGGGCACAGAGGAAGGCACCCTGGTCCCAGGCTCCCAGAACGCTCCTTGGGAGGGTGGGGGACAGCGCCTGGCAGAGGTGGGGACCAGGTGACCTTGAGCTGAACTCCCGTGCCACTAAGTTTTCTAAACACGCTCTAGACCACGGCAGAACAGCGAGCTGGCCGGATGCACGCAAACGTTTTCGTTATTTCAGGAGGCGCGGCTAAGGCCCCACCTGCTCCTCCTGCAGAGATGGCGAGAAAGGCCCCCACCTGTCCCCAGGTGTGCTGGGAGGGCTCCGCTGGAACCTCAGGGAAGAATTCAAAACAAAAGCAGAGGGAACGCACAAAGAAACACTTATTGCAGCAGCCCCTCCTCGGGCCACACCCTCCCCAGGTGCCGCTCAGCCACCTTCTCCCCGCGGCCCATGGGCCGCTCCTCACCTGTGCAGGTGCCAGGGGGGCTGTGGCCAGGGGGCCCCTCTGCCGGGAAGTTGAAATTACCCCTAGACTAGCCTTCCCCGTGTCAGAGGCAGAGGCAAGCCTGGTCCCTGCCTGGAGGGGGCAGAGTGGGGGCCTGGACACTGGGCCCATACCTGGAGGGGGCAGAGTGGGGGCCTGGACACTGGGGCCCGTACCTGGAGGGGACAGAGCGGGGGCCTGGACACTGGGGCCGTGCCTGGAGGGGACAGAGCGGGGGCCTGGACACTGGGGCCGTGCCTGGAGGGGACAGAGCGGGGGCCTGGACACTGGGGCCGTGCCTGGAGGGGACAGAGCGGGGACCCTGGAATGTCCTCCGAGAGGCCTGGACCCTGGAGCAGGAGGCGCAGCCCTGCAGAGGCGGGCGGAGAGGCGGCTCGGGAACAAAGGCCAGGTGAAGACATCAATCAGCCAGCAGATCACATTTCCTGCTCTGAAAGGTCCTGTAAAACCAGGAGAAAATGGGCCTGTCAGGGGGATGGATGGGCAGTGATAGTGGCCGCCCGCGGGGGGGGGGGGGGGGGGGGTGGCTCCCCGCCCCCTCGGGGTCCTAGCTGCGAACCGCCCCCCCCCCCCCCCCGCCGCCACCCCCCGCCGCCAGGGGCTGGGCTGGGCGCTCACAACCTGTACAGTCCTGAGTGAGCAGAAGCCAGGCAGGGGTCCAGGAGGCTGCCCTGGGGACTGGCTCTCGCGCCCCAACACGCCTGCGCCTCCAGACCCCCGCGCCCCCACACCCCCGCGCCCTGCAGGATGAAGCCCAGCTGCCGAGCCCTCGTCAGGCTGTAAAACGGACGGAGACCAGAGATGGTGTCAGCAGGCAGCTCGAGTACCTTTTAAAATTGTAATCTCCTTTTATTTCCCTTCTCCCTCCACATGTAACCTCCTGCTCACCCCTCTCCCTTCCTGCAGCGAGGGCTGGCGGTGACCTTGGGCTTGGACCTCAGTGTCTGGCGGCCGAAACCCTCAAGGAGGCCCTCCTGGCCGCAGGGAGCTGGTGCAGGGGTGAGTCAGCCGCGGGCCGAGGTGCGGGGGGGCAGCAAGGCCCACACCCGCCACAGTGACCCCACCGCCTGCAGATCCTGCAGCCCTGGGCTGGGACAGGGTGACCTGGACACCCCTCTTGGCTGCGGCCCGAGGAGAAGGGCAGGGCCCTGTGGCCGCTCCTCAGGAAGACGGGGGGCACCGGCTGCCTGGCCATCTCCCCGCCTCTGGAAACCCTCTCCTGGCTCCTGGGGACTCCCAGCCTTGGGCCTTCCATCTGGCCCCCCCTCCGGCCCCTGGGCCATGACAGCAGAGCCCCCGCCGCCTGAGGGAACCCAGCTCCCACCCTTTGGGGGCCAGGCCTCTGTTCTCCAGGAGGAGCCCCGAGAAACGGAGGAGGAGCTGGTCCTGAGGCCCTGAGCGCCTCTCGGGACAGGATGGGGAGGAGACACCGGAGAACCGCACGTGTCCGTGTGGGCCCGACTGGCACAGGTGCGAGCAGCCCGGGCCCCTCAGAGCCAGGTGCCCACAGAGCCATGGGAGGGACAGGTGCCTGGAACCGGGGGCCTGGGCATTGAGGAGACTGAGAAGGCCAGCAGGCCGGGCGCTACTCAGGGCCCCAGGATCCAGGCTGCCACACAGGTGGTCCCAGGGACACAATCAACAGGGCCTGGGCCTCCGGGCAGTCTCTCCCTCCAGCAGACGGACCAGCGTGGAGGACAGGCTGGGAGGGCAGGTGAGAAGGGGTGCAGAGATGGGAGATACCCACAGGCAGAGAGAGACACGAGGGAGAGACCGAGAGAGGAAGGCCAGGCAGAGCAGAAGGCAAGGGCAGAAGCCGGACGCTGTGCGCAGAGCAGGGCTGGAGGGCTGGGTCCCGGAGGGACAGCTCCCGGTGCCTGTCGCCTGCACCCCAGCCAGTCCCCGCCACCCTCCCAGGTGCAGAGGCTGTGCTGCCCAGGCCCCTGGCCAGGTGCTCACCGCCCTGCAGGTGACAGAGAGCGGCTGCGAGCAGGGCTCCAGGGACACCAGGCCCCAGGCTCCTCCCCAGGGGCCGCAGGAGGCAAGAGACCGCCCTGGACCAGCGCCTGAGGCGCAATGCCCCGCAGCCAATTCTGGGGACAAAGGCAGCTGCACTTCCTTCCTGCATCCCTCAGGCCTAGCGGGGCTGAGGGGCTGAGAAAGGGGAGGTGGTCCTGAATTCAGGCCTCCCGCCAGGCCCTGCCCGGCCGCTGGCTGCCCGCACCGCTGGCCCTGGGGAGCCGCCCTTGGGCCTGACCCTGACCGACTGGCTGGCCTGGTGATGGGTGTCCGTGCCTCCTGCTCCGTGGAACAAAGCCTCTTTCAGCCACGGGCGAGAGGCCACTTGCTGGCAGGGCAGGCCAGCCGGTGAGCCGACAGCGGGCAGGCAGGTGACCGATACGCTGCTGTCCCGGGGAGGCGGTCCCTCCTTGCCCAGATCCCCGGGACCGTGGGCACCTAGGGGTGCAGGGCAGGAAAGGAGGGCGGGGCTCAGCCTCATCCACAGGGTTTGGAGGCAGGAGGGACCCCTGAGGGTGGGGAGGGGTGGGAGCCCAAGGGTCTGGTGTGGGTGGCAGGTGAGGCAGGGCTGGGCCAGCCTGGGCAGGGCAGGGCGGGGCAGGCTGGGTGCTCTCACAGCACCACGGGGCTCTCTTTGCAATCGGGCAGTCCGTCACCCCCTTGCTCCCCCCAGCTGAGGCCTCTGGACCCCGCAGTGCCCAGCTGCCCTCGGCCTGCTGCCCTCAGCCCCCAGCTGCCCTTCCAAACCCCCTCCCCCAAGCTGTCTCCTTCTCCCAAGATTCCAGGCCTTGCTGGGCCCAAGCACTTGCACCCACTCCCCTGCCCTGGGATTGCCCCCCCCCCATTGCCAAAGCCCCACGACCTCACCCTAAAGTGGGGAAGCGATGGGTTTGCAAGCAGCCCCCCACCACCTGTTCGGTCACACTTCCGGGTCAGGCAGAGGGAGTTGGGGTACCCTGTCTCTCACGTGCACACACATGGTCCCCCAACCCTCCCCTCAGGGCCACCCGCACTGCTCAGCCTGAGCCTCTCCCACCCATCTGTCCACCACCGGCTGGGTTTCGATTCTCCCGCCGGCGACCTGGCCACCTGCCCAGCGACGCCCTGTCTGACTGCCCCCGATGCCCAGCCTTCCTCCTCCTCCTCTTCTCCACCTCAAATCCTCGACATTCACTGCCTCCCGGGAGGCCGGGGCGGACTGGTTATGTAGGGCAGCCAGGTTCCCTGGGCGCCCGCGGAGGAGGAAAAGCAGGTTACAGCCCCGGGGCCTCGGCTGCCGGTCTACGCACCAGCAGGAAGCGCAGGCACCAGCAGGCGCGTGTGTGCAAACCCAAAGCGGCCCAGGCTGAACGGCCCAGCCTGGCACCCCCACTTAGTCCCCAGGCTGAACGCCCGGCCTGCACACCCACTTACTCCCCAATGTTGCTGGTGGTATTTTTTTTTAAACATGTTTTTATTGATTTCAGAGAGGAAGGGAAAGAGATTGAAACATCAATGATGAGAGAGAATCATGGATCAGCTGCCTCCTGCCTGCCCCCCACTGGGGGATGGAGCCCACAACCCGGGCCTGTGCCCTGACTGGGAATCGAACCGTGACCTCCTGGTTCATAGTTCGATGCTCAACCACTGAGCCACGCTGGCCGGGAGGTGGTGGTATTTTCAATACAACTTAATTTTCCCACTTCTCCAGAAGATTAACTGTTTAACTCTAACAAGACAAAGAGAAAACTCAGGAAGCCAGCAAGGTTGGGTGCCCACCTGGGGACTGGCAGGGGCAAGGCCGCCCACTGGGCGTGCAGAGCAGGGAGCCGTCTGGGAATAGAAGTGCAGGGCACAGGGGACCTGGGACCTGGGACAACCGGGCCAAGGGATTGCAGACCTGGGGGCTTTGGGGGCAGCCACATGGGGAGGGGTCCCCCTCCCGGGCCCCCCTTCAGCCCGGGCTCCCCAGTGGGCCCGGACAGGACCGAGGCCCCCTCTTCCCAAACACACCTCTCTCTCCCACAAAATAATTTAATGCAACTAAATGGCTTGAAGTTGATGTAAAAATTACAGGCATGTGGGGGGGGAGGGGGCATGGAAGAAATCCTTTTGAAAATATAATTGAGTTAATGGAGCCATAACTGTGTCTCATTTTGGGGGTAATTGGCCTGCTTTTTGTCACTCTGTCCATTTACATACTCCTGTTTTCTTTTCGCTATTGATTTTTTCTTTATAAAGTGGGCCACTTTACTGCAATTTTAAAAGCCCCAGTGATGAATAAAAACCTCATCTTCCCACTCATTAAGACTCAGGAATTAGCCTTCGAGGGCCCCACTCATCAATTTGCGTAACAATCCCGGGCTGTTCGGTTTTTAGGTTGCGGCCGGAAAGGGGGGCTGCCTGCTCATGGCTAGGGGCTCAGGGCCAGCCAGAGGGGCTGGAGCAGGTTCCGGGAGGCGGGTCCTGGGCGAGAGGTGTCTTCGGAAAGGTCCACCTCCGGGGAAGGAGGACTGACGGCCACTCAGGGGTCCACAGACGCACCTGCCCGGATCCACCCGGGGCCCCTGGACCTGAGACGCCCTCCAGGTCCAGTCCTCCCGCCCTGCCCTGGGCCCCTCTACCAGCACCCGCCTCCTTGTGACCATAACGCAGGGCCCCACCCACCTGCCTCTGGCTGCAGACCTAGGTCACATTTCCTTTATAAAACATCCTATCTAATAAAAGAGAAACATGGTAATTGGCGTACGACCGCTACCCTTCCCATTGGCTAATCAGGGTGATATGCAAATTAACTGCCAGCCAAGATGGCGGCCGGCAGCCAGGCAGCTTAAACTGAACATGAGGCTTGCTTGCTTCAGTGACGGAAGACTGCAACGTTCCCCACCTGCCTTGCCGACCTCTGAGCCTGCAGTTTGAAACATAGTTACAAATATAGAAGCTAAACAAAACCCCAGAAACCAGCTTTCAGCAAACTGGGATCTCAGAGCTGGAGTTGATACAGAGTTTCGATTATAGAACCTAAACAAACCAGATACCTTCTTTCAGCAGCAGAGACCTCAGAGCTGGAGCCAGGCTAAAGCTGGCCCAGAATTTAAAAAAAAAAGAAAAAAAGGAGCAGTTGGGAGCTTCAGTCACCCGTCAGCCTGAAAACAGCCCTCAGCCCCTCACCCAGACTGGCCAGGCACCCCAGTGGGGACCCCCACCCTGAAGGGTGTGTGACCAGCTGCAAACAGCCATCATCCCCTCATCCAGGCTGGCCAGGCACCCCAGTGGGGACCCCCACCCTGATCCAGGACACCTTTCAGGGCAAACCAGCCAGCCCCACCCATGCACCAGGCCTCTATTCTATATAGTAAAAGGGTAATATGCCTCGCAGCACTGGGGTCAGCAGAGCCGAGACGCCTCCCAGCACCGGGATCAGCGTGACAGGGGGCAGCGTCCAAACCCCCTGATCGCCCTGCGGCTCTGTGTGTGACAGGGGGCGGGGCCACAACCTCCCTATCGGCCCTGCTCTGTTCCTGACAGGGGAAGGCGCCCCAACCCCCTGATCGGCCCTGCTCTGTGCCTGATAGGGAGGAGCTCCCCAACCCCGATTGCCCTGTGGCTCTGTGTGTGACAGGGTGCAGCGCCCCAACTCCCTCACCCCACGGGCCCTGCTCTGTGTGTGACAGGGTAGAGCCATAACCTCCCCATCGGCCCTGCCCTGAGTGTGAGTGGCGGCGCCCCAACCCCCTGATCGGCCCTGCTCTGTGGGTGATAGAGGGCGGCGCCCCAACCCCCTGATTGGCCCTGCTCTGTGTGTGACAGGGGGTGGTGCCCCAACTCCCCTATTGACCCTGCTCTGTGTGTGACGGGGGGCAGCACCCCAACCCCCTGATTGGCCCTGCTCTGTGCGTGACAGGGGGCAGCACCCCAACCCCCTGATTGGCCCTGCTCTGTGCGTGACGGGGGTGGCGCCGCAACCTCCCCATCGACCCTGCCTTGAGTGTGACAGGGGGCAGTGCCCCAACCCCCCCAATCGGCCCTACCCTGAGAGTGACTGAGGGTGGCATCGCAACCTCCCAATCCACCCTGCTCTGTGCATGACAGGGGGCGGCGCCCCAACTCCCCAATCGGCCCTGCTCTGAGCCCGACCAGGGGCTGCACCTAGGGATTAGGCCTGCCCTCTGCCACCCAGGAGAAGGCCTAAGCCAGCAGGTCGTTATCTTCCGATGGGTCCCAGACTGCGAGAGGGCACACGCCGGGCTGAGGGACTCCTCGCTCCCCCCCCCTCTAGTATTTCTGTGCACCGGGCCTCTAGTATACATATATTCTAAAACATTTTTTTATTGATTTCAGAGAGGAAGGGAGGAGGAGAGATAGAAACGTTAGTGATGATGGGCCCTAGCTGGTTTGGCTCAGTGGATAGAGCGTCGGCCTGCGGACCAAAGGGTCCCGGGTTCGATTCCGGTCAAGGGCATGGGCAGGAAACTAAGATGGCAGCATAGGGAAACACCGGAATTGCTGCCTCCTACAACAACTTCAAAACACAATAAAAAGACAAAACGGACATCATCCAGAACTTGCAGGAAGGCTGGCGGAGTGGAAATTCTACAACCAGAAGGAAAGAGAAAAGCACACTGAGACTCAGAGGAGCTGCGGAAGTAAAGTACAAAGGTACGGAGGCTCAAGCACGCGGAAAGGGGCTGGCACCTGAGGACGTGGCTGTCTTTTTGAATCGGGAGGGAGTCACAAGCTCCCGACTGCTCTGAACTCCAGTTCGGGAAGTCTCTGGGGACCCAGGACTCATACAGGGAGAAACTGGACTGTCTGGCAGCGGGCAGAACTCGGAACTTGAGGGCGGCTTTCCCTCAGAGGTGCTTGCAGCAATTAAATTATCAGGACACTGAGACTCTCGAGGCCCCTTAGGGCAGGGCTGAGAATCCGCCATAGTTCCTTGCTCTGCCCTTTGATTCTCTGAGACCCCGCCCCACCCAGGCTGAGGCAGAGGCTTTTGCATATGAATGCCCTGGCCCTTTGCAACCTGAAAATTACCTAATAAACTGCAGCTGGGCCACAGACCCAGAACTTCCAAGAGAAGGCCCAAGGCCCCACAGCAGTTTGCATTGCTTCACAGCTGGGCCTCATCAGGGCACCTCCAAACTCCAAAAAAGGAAGGGGAATCTGCAGTTCTCTTCATAGCTCCTGCTGGGTAACCTCCAAGAGCCAGTGTACCCAGTGGTCAGAGGGGGACCATCCGGATTACAACTCCTCAGATCCATAAGGGACACACCCAGGGGGCAGACTCAGTGAGCACCAAAGCCCCACTGAAGCAAGTCTTGCCCCAGAAGGGTGTCTTCAGCACAGAAGTTCTCCCACTGCAGACACAGCCGATTCTCACTGCCAATTGGCCTGGAGGTCAACTCCTCCCAGTGATCCTACAACAATCAAGGCATAACTACAACAAGACTGTGCACAAAGCCCACAAGGGGGTGCACCAAGAGTGTCCACCTCAGGTAACGGGGGAGGCTGAGCCACTGGGCCCTACAGGACACCTAGCACACAAAACCACTCTACCAACACAGGGAAGCATAAAAAATGCGGAGACAAAGAAACAGGTCACAAATGACAGAAATGGAGGAAAGCAAACAACTGGATATAGAGTTCAAAACCACGTTTATAAGGTTTTTCAAGAATTTTATGGAAACCGCCGACAAATTTAGTGAGACCCTCAAGAAATCTAGTGAGACCCTTGAGGATATGAAAAAGGACCAACTAGAAATTAAGCATACACTGACTGAAATAAAGAATAATATACAGAGATCCAACAGCAGACAAGAGGATCCCAAGAATCAAGTCAAAGATTTGAAATACAAAGAAACAAAAAATACCCAACCGAAAAAGAAAAAAGATTCCAAAAATATGAAGATAGTGTAAGGAACCTCTGGGACAGCTTCAAGCGTACCAACATCAGAATTATAGGGGTACCAGAAGGAGAGAGAGGGCAAGATATTGAAAACCTATTTGAAGAAATAATGACAGAAAACTTCCCCTACCTGGTGAAAGAAATGGACTTACAGGTCCAGGAAGCGCAGAGAACCCCAAACAAAAGGAATCCAAAGAGGACCACACCAAGACACATCATAATTAAAATGCCAAGAGCAAAAGACAAAGAGAAAATCCTAAAAGCAGCAAGAGAAAGACAGTCAGTTACCTACAAGGGAATACCCATACGACTGTCAGCTGATTTCTCAACAGAAACCATGCAGGCCAGAAGAGAGTGGCAAGAAATATTCAAAGTGATGAATAGCAAGAACCTGCAACCAAGATTACTTTATCTAGCAAAGCTATCATTCAGAATAGAAGGTCAGATAAAGAGCTTCACGGATAAGAAAAAGCTAAAGGAGTTCATCACCACCAAACCAGCATTATATGAAATGCTGAAAGGTATTCTTTAAGAAGAGGAAGAAGAAAAAGGAACTCTTACCATTTGCCACAGCATGGATGGAACTGGAGAGCGGATAAATACCACAGGATCTCACTCATTTGTGGAATATAATGAACAACATAAACTGATGAACAAGGACTGATCCAGAGACGGAGAGGCATTGATTGGACTGTCGGGCCTTGGAGGGAAGGTAGGGGAGGGTGGGGGTAAGGGGGAAAGATCAACCAAAGGACTTATATGCAAGCATATAGGCCTAACCAATGGACACGGACAACGGGGGCGTGAGGGCGTGACCGGGGGGGGGGGTAGAGGGTAACGTGGGGATAAGGACACATATGTAATATCTTAATCAATAAAAAATATATTAAAAAAAAAAAAAGAGCATGTACCACGGTTGCAGGCTCCTCCCCAGCCCGGGCCCTGGTTGGGGCTCATGCAGGAGGCAACCATCGATGTGTTTCTCTCACATCAGTGTTTCTCTATGTTTTCTCCTCTCTCCTCCACTCTCTCCAAAAAGATCAATGGAAAAATATCGAGTGAGGATTAACAACAACAAAAAGAAACATCAGTGATGAGAATCATCGATCAGCCGCCTCCTGCACGCCCCCTACTGGGGATCAAACCCGCAACCTGGGACTGTGCCCTGACGAGGAATTGAACCTTGACCTCCTGGTTCAGAGGTCGACACTCAACCACTGAGCCACGCCGGCCGGGCTAGAAAACATTTCTTTAATTCTAAAATCCATGCACACACACAGTAAAAGAATCCAACACACAGACGGACAGAGTGACAGTAGTGCCCCTCCCCTGCCCCCGCCTCTACAGGCAACAGCTGCAAATGGCTCCCTGCCACCTGCCCCTGGTTGGGTGGTCTCCCTCCCTCCCTGGGGGACGCCCTCCGTGTCTGCCACTTCTCATGTCTCCCTCCCCCCCGGCATGTCTGTGCCGTGTGCCTGGGCTGCCCAAGACCCACCCGATCTCCAGTGCTGATCCCGGGACTGTCCTGGCCGACGGGGGCGGTTGGCCGGTTTCCACGCCTCTAGCCAGGGTCCGGCCGTGGGACAGTGAGGCTCGTCCGGCTTCTCGCTCTCGGCGCCCTCACAAGCGTGTCTGGAAGAGAAAGTTCCTACAAGAGGAGCTGCCAGGTGGAAAGGTCCCTACATGTCGGATGGTGATTGCTACTGCCAACCCGCCCGGCTAAAGGTGCCAACCCCGCCGCCCCCCACCCCCCACCCCGCCCAGCAGCATCCGCTTCCCTGCGCACCTGGCCAGGCTGGAGGCCGCCGCTCATTCTGGCCTCTGTCACCTGGTAAGTGCCAGTGTCACGGGGGATTTTGTTCCATCGGCTTTCAGACCGAGAGCCCTGGCCGGCCGGCTCTGCCGGTTAGAGTGTCGCCCTGAGGGGACGACTGTGGGTTCAGGCCCCGTCAGGGCACGTCCAAGAAGCACCCAGTGAGGCAGGAGCGCCTGGAACCCCAAATCCATGTCTGTCTCTGAAATCAAGAAACATAAGGTGATAAAAGATGTTTCAAAGCTATGATTCAGCTGCAATAAAGCACCATTCTGAGCACGCAGTCCGATGAGTTTCGGCATCGCCCCGGCAACTGAGACACGGAACTCCCGGCACCGGGAGGCTCCCTCGGGCCCTCTCCTCCGCCTCCCGCCCGACCGCAGCCCCAGCAGCCAGACCTGCTGTCCTTCCCTGCAGACGAGTTTGCCTTTTCTAGCAGCTTCCAGAAACCGAGTCACACAGGGTTCCGGGCTTCCTCGCTCAGCACAGGACCTGGAGACTCACCAGGGGGCTGTTTCCTCGTGACGGCCGGAGGTGTCTGCCGTCGGGGCGCCCCCATTACTGGGCCCCGGACTGGGACATGCGGGCCGCCCCAGTCTGGGGCTGTTAATGAACGAAGCTGCAATGCGCCTTCAGTGTAAGGCTGTGTGAGCTGTGCCCAGGGTGGCCCAGCTGGGTCCGGCATGTGTCTCTGCCGCTAACGCTGCCACACTGCTCAGCGGCTAACACCCCCCCGCGGGGGGTGCGCCAGGACCACCGGGCACCGCCGGCCCGCTCACCCAGTGGCACCGGAAGCTGTGCAGCCGTCACTCTGTGGTTGTAACTTGCATTTCCCTCATCAGTCCGCCGGCTTTTGACATTTGTTAATAATGATGTTTTTATCGTGAAAAAAATGTCTGTTTATGGTTTTGAGGTTTTGTCACAGTTTCCTTCTATATTGACCGTGATGGCTCTGGTCCCAGAAAACGCCCTCGGTGGGCACCACTTACTTCTTAGGTGTTTCTAAAGCGACGGAGCCACACGGGGCTCACCCGCCCCCCGCCCCATGGGAAAGAGGTGTAGAGACCAACTTCTCTGCCCGCCTGGGACACCAGCGCCCCCCTCCGGTCCTGGCCTGCCGCCTGGGCACCTCTGCCTGTCTCTGACCACAGGGCTCACGCCAGGCCCAGGAGCCTGGAAGTTACAAGGTAACCTGAGGGCACCCAAGGTGAGCCCGTGGGCAGGTAAGTGGCTGGGGCCCAGAGAGAGGGAGCTGGAGGGAGGCCCCCACGGTGTCAGCCCTGACCAGTGAGCCCCAAATCCACTCCCGCTTCTCCCCATACTCGCTGTTTCCCAACACCCTGTGGCCATGGTCACCTCCAGCCGATCTCATGGGCAAGGGATGTGAGTGGCAGCGGAAGGGGTGGGACAACGGGAGCCCCTGGAGGGGGGGCGCCCGAGCCGCCAGGCTGGACCCCGGTGAGATGGAGCCACCAGGCAGCTGGCTGAGGCGCTGGGCCCCGAGCTGGGGTGGGGGTGGGGGGTAGGCCCAGAAGCCCTGCAGTGACTCCAGCTGAAAGGGCACGCAGACCGCACCTTCCATGCGAAGAAGAGGCCTCCCGCCCGGCCAGCGTGGCTCAGTGGTTGAGCGTGGACCTGTGAACCAGGAGGTCAGGGTTCAATTCAGGGCACAGGCCCAGGTTGCTGGCTCGATCCCCAGTGTGGGGCGTGCAGGAGGCAGCTGATCCATGATTCTCTCTCATCATTGATGCTTCTCTCTCTTTTTTTCCCCTTTTTTTAAAATATATTTTTATTGATTTCAGAGAGAAATTAATAAAAACATATCTATCTATATAATAATAAAAGCATAATATGCTAAACAGACCGGACGTCCTTCCGGACGAAGCCGGGCTGCAAGGGCCAAGTCCCTTGCCCGAATTTCGTGGATCGGCCTCTAGTATTTTCTAAAAAAGGGTGGTGGGTGGGAAGAGATCAACCAAAGAACTTCTATGCACAAATGGACGCAGATGACAGGTGGGGGGGCCGGGGGCTGGGCGGGCCGTGTCAGTGGACACTCATACTCCAACGACAAAGATTAAAAAGCAAGAGGCCTCCATGGCGATGCGGGGAAGGCGGCAGAGGGAGGGGTGAGGGGCAGGATGGGAGGAGGGCTGGCAGAGGAGGTTGGGGGCCCGGCTTGCAGATGAGGAAACTGAGGCCGGAGGGGTCCCCTGGCCTCACTCACGCAGGACGCCCAGGCAGCGGGGAGCCAGCACCCGGCCCCAGGGGATGCGGGCGGCCCCACACCCTGCGGGGCGCATCCCCGCCCGCACCCCTGCGACCCAGGGCGGTGGGGCCGCCGTCCTCGCGTTCCTTCCTCTGCCATCTCATTGCGCTTCCATTTCCCAGGCCGGTGCTTGTTTTTACCAAAACAGACACTTTTCGGGGGAGGGGGGCACGGGAGCCTTCGGGGTCCCCGGATCCTGGGAAGGACTTCCTTGGCAGGTGGCAGCTCTCCCACCCGGGCGTGGACCCGCCCCCCCGGAGCTTCCCTTAGCAGGTGGGAGCCCCGGGGAGCCCCCCGCCTTCCTCACCGGCGTCCAACGTCCTCTCGTGCTGTCCGCAGCCGGCGCACCTCCTCTCTCCTGCGCGACGCCCCGAAACCCGCTGCGCAGCAGGGAGCCCGCGCCGGGCGACGGGTCCAGGCGGAGCAGGTCGGGCCCCGGCGGAGGGGAGTCCCCCGCGCGCCCGCCCCGCCGCGCCCTCTGCTGGGGGCCCGCGTCCCACCGGGAAGACCCCGTCACGTGGTCAAACGTAGCCTGCTCTGATTGGCCGGCCTGCACTCCGCACCCGCCCTGATTGGAGCCCGCGCTGTGATTGACAGCCGGGCCGCGAGGGGGCTGGGGAGGCTGCCTTTCCTTCCAGCCGGTGGCCTCGCCGGCCGCCCTCCCTCTGCCCCGCGCGACGGGGTTCTGGGTGGTGGATGGGGGGGAGGGCGCCCCGTGCTACGGGCTGTGAGCAGGCTGCTGCCCCCACCCCGAGGGCTGCCCCAGGGGCTTGGAGCCAGGGCTGTGGCCTGAAGTGTGACCCCAGCTCCTCTGCAAAGCCCCTCAGGCTGCTACCCCGGGAGGCACCACCCCTGCACCCCGTTTTCCCGTCCCCCACGAGCCCCAGCCTCTCCATGACGGTCATGACCATCCCAGCGCCTTCCCAGGGCTGCTGCTGGCTGTTCCTAGGGAGGGGGCGGGTCTTGGGTGCCATTGTGCACCCCGTTGTGCTCGGGCCTTGTCCACGACCCCCTTCTTGACCTGGGCCTGGACCCAGGGCCCCCTCTCAGCCCCCGCCCTTTGCAGGATGGACCCCGAGCCCCATTTCCGGATGGAGCAGGGAGGGAGCGTGGACCCTCAGTGCGGGGATGACCTGCATCTGGTCCCCTCTGCCCTGAGAGGGTGGGGTGGGGTGTAGGGGGTGGGGGTAGGGGTGGGCAGGACCAGACCCTCCCACCCAGCAGCCAGGCGACTGACCTTGGCTGTTTCCTCCCATCAGGGGTCACAGGTCAGGCTCCCCTCCAGGAGCGTGCAGCCTGGGGGTGCTGTGGGCTAGGGCAGGATGGGGTGCTTAGTGGACTCCTCTGCTGGGTAGGGACAGGGAGGTGCAGAGACCGTGTTGGGGGAAAGGGATGGCCCTCCAGCCTGGCTCTCCCTCTCGGGGCCCCAACGCCCCCCCCCCCACCTGCCCGGGAAAGGCTCCCAGCAGCTGTTTCTGGAAACAGCTGGAGGCTGAGGTCAGCGGGAGGCCAGCAGGGAGCCTGAGTGGGGGTGAGGCTGGGAGGCCCCCCTGCAAAAGGGGCCCCAGCCCCTTGCCTTTCAGGCCTGGCCGAGGAGGTGGGGTGGCCGGCCAGCCGGGAGCCGCAGGGGCACGCGGAGTGCAGCGCTGCGGCGAGCCGCCAGCAGCCTCAAACAATGTGGTTTCAATCTAATTGTCCCAAAATATTGTTACAACACAAACCACGTGCCATCCACTCACCTGCAACTAATCAGCGGCAAAGCTACCGAATAAATCGGTTCCACACCCGTGGGGCCGACGGGCCGGGAGGCCGGAGCTCGAACCCGGGTGCCCAGGCCGAGGCCGCCACCGCCAGACCTGTTTCCTGTTGGGGGTGAGAACCGTCAGGGCAAGTGGGGGACACGGTGGGGACGCCTCCTCTCTGTGTGGCCCCATCCCACTCAGGGGGGCAGAGCTGGGAGGCACCAGCCCCTTGTGAGAGTGCACCCAGGCCCCAGAGGGCCAGCCAGGGCACTGGGGCCAGAGCCGGGTCAGCAGCGGTCAGCCCAGGCCGGGGGGCCCTGAGGGTCCCCATCCTCCCTCCGCCCTGACCATCCACCCCGTGGCCCTGGGCCTTCGCTCCTTCAGGAAGCATTTGCCCGCAGGAATAATGACAACACAACGGCCTTCGAAGCCACCCAGGCCCTTGGTAAATGAGCTGAGTGATTCCGCCCACCCTCAAGGGCACCAAGGGTGTCCCCATGTAGTTCACAGGGCCTCCAGACCTGCCAGGGCCCATCGCTAAGGGGCTGGGACATCCAACCCCTGGCTCAGCCCGAGGTCCCCGCCGGCACCGTGCACACTGTGGCGGTCAGACGGACGCAGCCCTCGGAGGAAGCCGCAGCTCGGGGGGGGGGGGGGGGGGGGGGGGACAAAGCCGACGCCAAGTGTGAGTTCTGGGCGTCGGCAGCTCTGACCTTCCGGAGCCTGGAAGGCCCCGGTGGCCCTTGAGTGAGGCCTTGAGGGCAATGGTGTGTCCACGGCAGGAAAGATGGGTGACCTTTTTCCAAACCAGGTCACGCTCACAGCTTCATACCTTTTTGGGGGGGTGAGGCACCATTCAACCCACTACATAGAGACACCTCACCTGTAACCACCCTTTTTTAAAAAAAGATTTTTTTTTTTAAATCAGTTTTGAGAGAGAGAGGAAGGAAGAGGGAGAGAAACATCGATGTGAGAGTGAATCATCGATGGGCTGCCTCCAGGGGCTGAGCCTGAAACCTGGGCGTGTGCCCTGACGAGGAATGGAGCCAGCGGCCTTGCAGTGCAGGGCACGACACCCCGACACCCACACAGCTGACCGCACCGGCCGGGGACGCCTGTGGCCCCGTGAGTGCTTATAGGGGGTTAGGCACCACGCTAACAGGGCTCCCCCACACTCGCTCACAGCCCTTCTGGGACGCGAGGGTCACGTCCTGCCTTAGAGAGAAGGACAGCGAGGCTCAGAGACCTCAGGCAGCCGCCCCGAGGGGGTCAGCTTGGAAAAGGTGGGGAAGGTTCCAGCCAGGCTGTGCTCTGCCTCCAGGACCCAGCGTCGGGCTCTGTGACAGAACCACGCCTGCCGAGGGACACAGGGGCTCCCACTGACCGACAGGCATCAGGAGGGCCCTGCGGGAGCCGCGGTCGATTCAGCGGCCCCCGAGAGCTGGTGGTGACCCAGCCGCTCACACACACTGCAGGGCCGAGGCCAAGGTCACCCGACAGGTTCCCCGTGGGGGGAATGAGAGAAGCCATCAGGCCGAGAGCGGAGAGCACGGCACAGCCCGGAACTCGGCAGGGGACACGGCCACCCCACGGCCACCCACGGCCACCCACGGCCACCTGGCAGCGACCCCCCAGAGGACCCCAAACCACAGCTGTGCCCAGGGCCTCCCCTCCGCCCCCTCCGTCTTCGAATAAGAAGATGGACGGAGTCGCTTTTTGTCTCCGGTTGGGCTGGGCCTGCTGAGCCGGGGAGCCGCCAAGGAGGTGGGGCGGGGACACCCTCAGGGGGCCTGCACGGTGAGGGGCCACCCCAGGGGGCCCCTACGCACGGCCCCTTCCATTTTTCAAGCCATTTATTAGAGTAAAATACACATAACAGAAAACCAGCTGTGTAGCCACGTGTAAGTGTAAAATGCAGTGGCTTCAGGACTTTCATTGTTGTGCAACCCCCACCACCACCACCACCACCATTTCCAACATTTCTGTGCCCGGAACAGAAACTGTCCCCGTTGGGCAATCACTCCACGCCCGCCCCCACCCCCACCCCTCCTCCCCCACCACCCGGGCTCTGACCTCTCGGCTACTTTCTGGCTCCGCGATCTGCCTTCTGCGTGTTTCATGAAACGGAGGAATCACACGCTCTCTCTGGTCGGATTCTTTCACTGAGCACAGTAGCCGCCAGTTCATCCATGTCCTTCCAGACGTGGTGGCAGGATTCCCTGCCCTTTTTTTTTTGGTCCATCCTCACCCCAGGGCCCTGACTCCACGGCCTGCGGCCTGCTGCTCGGGGCGCCCGTGGGAGAGCCCCTCCCAGGCGGCCCCTCCCGCTCCGCGTGTCCAAGGAGGGGCTGCCGGTTCCTCGGTGCTGGGCTTGGCAGGAGCCACGGGGGGCCCAACAGGCTTTGCAAAATTTCTTTCTTTTACGCTGATTTCTTTCTCTCTCTTTTTTAAAAATGTATTTTATTGATTTTTTACAGAGAGGAAGGGAGAGGGATAGGGAGTTAGAAACATCGATCAGCTGCCTCCTGCACACTCCCCACTGGGGATGTGCCCGCAACCCAGGTACATGCCCTTGACCGGAATCGAACCTGGGACCCTTCAGTCCGCAGGCCAACGCTCTATCCACTGAGCCACACCGGCCAGGGCATGCGCTGATTTCTCTCAGCGTAAACGCTACACTGAGCCCCGCGCAGTGGCTCAGGGGTTGAGCACCAACCTATGAACCAGGAGGTCACGGTTCAATTCCCGGTCGGGGCACATGCCCGGGCTGCGGGCTCCATCCTCAGTGTGGGGCGGGCAGGAGGCAGCCGATCGATGATTCTCTCTCATCATGGATGTTTCTATCTCTCTTCCCCTTCCTCTCTGAAATCAATACAAATATTTTTTTAAAACGAAAGAAAAGCTAAATGGACACGTGGCACCTGCGATGTCGCAGACGTTAACACTTGGACAGGATGGGGGGAAGCAGCCGGGGCTGACGGGATGGGCTCTGGGGCCGGTCAGGCCCCGAAAGCTCAGGTTTGGGAAGTGCCCCACCCCCATCTGCTTTCCCACCGCACAGGGGCCGGAGGGCCTGGGCCACTGGACATGCATGAGGCGGAGGAAGGTGCTGAGTGGGTGAGCACTGCCCCTGCCTCCAGCACAGCCAGGGTGCTCCCGGCCCGGTCCCTTCCCACCCGTCAGGAGCCTGCAGGCCAGGGGTGATCCACGATGGCCGGGGCCCATTCGCCCTGCCTCTTGCCCCATGAGGTGAGGAAGCTGACCCACAGGAAACCCCACCCCAGGGCCCAGGGCCCAGGGCGGGTCAGGTGTGCGGGGCCCACACAGGCCTCAGGCCAGGGCATCGGAGCCAGCCTGTCTCTGTCCCAGGTTGGCGGCAGCTGGCTCACCCAGGCCTGGAGCCTGGATCCTGGGTCCTCCACAGCGCTGGGCAGGGAGCACCTGCTTTGAGGGCGGGGCTGAGGCCTTGGGGTTCCCACAGACGCTGCCTCATGAGCTGGGGCCTCACGCCAGTCACTTCGGCCTCCCCAGGGCACCCGGTGGGTGCAAGCAGTGAAACCTTTCCTGGTGATGCCCTCAGGCGGAGCTTCCCCACCCTCTGCCGGGCCGACCCTGGGAAGCAGGGTCAGCTGCCCGGCTCAGACCACGGGGGCGGGGCCTGTCCTGTGACCTGAGGGAAGGACTAGGTCAGCTGTGGGCAAACTACGGCCCGCGGGCCGGATCCGGCCCGTTCGGCCGTTCTATCCGGCCCGTTCGGCCGTTCCATCCGGCCCGCGGAGCCGAAAGAGCGGAGGGTTCTCTTCTCTCCCCTCCGCTCCTTCACCAGCAGCAGTGTTAACGTGTATTAGTTCACACAAACACTCCATCCATGCTTTTGTTCCGGCCCTCCGGTCCAGTTTAAGAAACCATTGTGGCCCTCGAGTCAAAAAGTTTGCCCACCCCTGGACTAGGTCCTGTCGACAGAGACAGGCTTCCCCATCAGCAGACCTGGTGCGAGTCCTGCTGTGTGGCCTTGGGCGAGTTACTCAACCTCTCTGTGCCTCCGTCTCACTGTGGGGGCCCAATGTGCTAACGCGGGACAGGTGCCGCCAGAGCCAGGGCTTTCTCTTCCTCCTCCTCTCCCTCCTGCCCCACGTCCCCGCAGCCGGGGGACAAAGCATTCGGCAGGCCCTGCGGGGTGCCCGCCGAGCCAAGGAGCGCTCTGGGCGGACAGAGGATGGCCAAGGTGCCGGGCGTGCAGAGGCCGTGTCCAGTGCTGGCCACCATCTGGGAGCTTAACCCCAGGACGCGGGCCTGCCCTCCTCCCACAGCCCCATCACCTGCCACCCCCCCAATCAGACCCAGCCCCAGCTTCATTCTGGTCACATTTGACCTCTGGAGATGCAGAGCGGCTGGATTGGGGGGGGCTGCATCCCGGGGCCCCCGACATGTCCCTGCCCTCGTTGGGGGAGGGGTCTTTCTCGTGTCCCTTGTGAGCTTGGTCACTGCAGGAGGCCAGGGAGCCCGCTCTCCCCTCCCCAGGCCTGGTCTGTCCCCCTTGGGCGGGCTCTGCCCAGCGCTGAGCCTCCACCAGCCCAACGGGGGCCCCAGACCCCAAGACCTCGTTCACGCTGACGGTGCAGGGGTCCTCCTGCCCCAGACCCCCTCCCAGCTGGCAGGAGCAGTAATGAGTGCAAGGCCGGGGAAATTATTAATTTCCATCCAAGCTGACTTCTGGGAAAGTTTGCCAATTAACTCAGCAAGCGGAGGCACCAGAAGGGAGAGGGAGGCGGAGGCTGGGACCATTTTTGCTGGGAGGGGGCAGGGAGACCCCACGGTGCTCAGGAGCCTGGAGGGGAGGACAGAGGAATGAGGATGCCCCCCCCCAACTCACCCCTGGCAGCGGGCGAGAGGCAGGAGGGGCAATGCTGCATCAGCCCTGTCCTGGCACCACAGCGTCTTCTAAGTGTGTGTGTGTGTAAGTGTGTGTAAGTGTGTGATTGTGTGAGTGTATGTACGTGTATATGTGAGTGTGTACGTGTGAGTGCATGTATGTGAGTGTGCATGAGTGTATGTGTGAGTGTGTGTAATTGTGTGTATGTGTGTGAGCGTATGTGTGGTGAGTGTGTGTAATTGTGTGTGTGGGGGGGGTGGTGACAGGCTGGCGCCCCGGTTCTGAGAGCCGAGGGTGGGCTTCTGAGCGGAGTGTGTGGCTCAGGCGCTGGGTGTCGGGAGCTGGTGGTGGAGGCCCAGGGCCACCCCGGGGAGGATGGTCAGGTGTCTGCCTCAGGGCCCCCAGCCCTGGCCCTTCGCCCCGTTTCTTTCGCCGTCTTGTGCAAAGCCAGGCCCCACCCCTTCCAGGCTGGGTTCCAGGCCGCCCCAGGCCTCCGTGACCCTGGGTTCAGCTCTACCCGCATCTGCCAGCGCCCGGCCCTTCGGCCTTGGTCCTGGTTAGGTCACAGCCTCTGTTCAGGACAAGTGACCCTCCCATGCAGGCAGGCAGGAGAGCGGAGAGCCGGCAGGGCTCCTGGCACGGGGGTCCCAGAGGCAGCAGGCAGGCTGCGCATGGGCCTGAGGAACCGCCCCGCTGACCTGGGAGGGGGCTGGGAGAGCCCCCGTGCCCGAGGTCCCCGCGCCCCGGGGGACAGACGGCTGGCTCAGGCCCCAGGCCACTCTGCCGCACCAGGGCCGGAGGGCCAGACGGGAGCGACTTTTCACCCTTTTAAGCCGGGATAGCCCTCTCCTGCCAGCGGCGGCCACGGCCTGCTCCCTGCGTCCCCGGCTGTCCTGGTCCGGTTTCAGGTTGGCCACCCCGCTCCCTCCCTGCGAGGGCTGCCCGGCTGCCCCCCACCCAGCCCCACAAGCACTCAGCAACATAAATTAAAATAAATTGCATTTTCAAATCGCAAATAGGGGCCATTTTATCGTTTTTATTGCATAACAACCATTAATGAAGTACAGTCCCAGCCGCCTTAATTGCCCGGGGACTAAAGTTCAATTCCTGTCATCCGTGCAGGCCGGCCGGGTGTCCGTCACTTCCACGCACCTGGCACAGCTTAAATGCAAATAACTCAGGGGCACGACAGGAGCTGCGGGAGGGGAGGGTCCCGGGCTGCCCGGAGCCCGGCCTCCAGAGAGATGGATGGGCCAGGTCCTTCTCCTGCCCGCCCCCCCCCCCCCTGCTCCTGACCGCTGAGGGGGCTCAGAGAGGGCTGGGGCCCACACCAGCCCAGGCTGCTTTCCCCAGGGCACTGGGACCACTGGAAAAGGGCCAGGGGCCAGAGTCCTCTCATCTCCGGGGTCTGCAGGAGGCCTGGTCCCGGCTGCCGGGCAACCACAGCTCCCCACCTCCTCTCTGGCCCACAGGTGAGCCCACAGCTGCTGTCCCTGGAGCCCACGTTCAGCCCTGTGGGTGGGGCAGACGGGACAAAGGACCCAACCAAGACCGTGCAGAGGCCGCGGGGGTTCCGGCTGCCCGGGAGGGACCCAAAACTGAAAAACTAGCAGACACCACTTGGGCCCAACGCCCTCCCAGCCCCCAGGGCCAGCTCCAGCCCCATTAATCTTTAACGGCCTCTGGGCTAGCGCTGACCCCAAAAGCAAACAGGGATCGAATTCCTGGGGAAGGGACACTGCGGTGACGGCACCAGGTGGGCTGGGGGTGCAGGGAAGGCCCCGGCCCCCGAGGACGCGGGAGCTAACTACTGACCTCCCCCGGGTTCCGATGCTGCGCCCCCTCCCAGAAGTGACTGGGGCAAGACCCCAGGCGGAGGTGGACTTGCGGGGAACGCCCCCCCCCCCCACGCACCTCTCCGCAGCAGCCTGGGGGCAGAGGCGCCCCTGGAGGAGCAGGGGAGGGCGCTGCCTGCAGGAACCCGCTGCGCCATTGTTACCCGTTCCAAGGCCAGAGGAGTTTTCCAGGAGGTTGTGACAACGACAAAAATAATAATAACCCCTCCCCCAGCAGCGGGAATTCTGGAAAAAACAGCCGCCGCCGCCTTTGGGGCCGGAGGAAAACACAAGGTCGGGCGTTGCGAGGATTTAATTTAGGGCCCAACCCGCAGCCCGCGGCCACGCACCGGCACGCGCGCCTTCTCCCAGCGCCCGCTCGGGGGTGCGCGGCCGGCGGGCGCCACGTGGAGCGCCCGGGGTCAGTCCCCTCACCCCGGCTCCCGCGTCTCCGCCAAGCCCTGCCCCGCCACCTCGTCCCAACCGACGGGGAAGGGGTGGACCAAGCGAGGGGTTGCCTTCGGCCCCAGGGTCCTCTGGGAGGGGGTGGGGCGAAATCCGGCTTCAGCAAACCACCTAGTAATTGGGGGGAGCGGGAGGACGCCCCGCCGCCTGGAGAAAGGAGGCGCCCTAATGAGAAGTGACAGAATGGGCCCGGGCAGCAGCACGAGGTCAGCGTTGGGCCATCAAGGCCTCCATCCTCCGAGGGTAGGGCCGGCCTCTCTCGCCGGGAGGGAGGCGCAGGGGCTGCTCAGAGGCCGGGTCTGGAAAGTTCTGCGCCCCCACGCCCACTCCCCCGGGCAGCGGTGGAGGAGACAGCGGCGCTGGAGGGAGCGCCTGCGCCCTGGCGAGCCCTCGTCCGAGCGGCGCTGCGGTCAGCCCTTCCGATGCCGGTGCCACGCGGTGGGCCAGGGGCCTTGGCTGCGCCCTTCTCCAGCCGCGCGCTGCCAGGGGAGGCTGACGGGCGCCGCGGGCAGGGAGCCGCCAGCCCCTCTGGGTGCCCGTGCTGGGAGGAACTTGGACATTGGGAGGATCTGGGGGAGCAGGGAGCGGCCCCAAGCCTTCGGGGGTAAAAGGCCCGCATGCAGGCGGTCTGCGCGGCTTGGGGAGGGTGGGTACCTGGCGATGAAGGGCAGACCCCGGGAGGTGGGGGGGCCGCCGCTCCAGGTGCCCAGCCCCTGGCCGCTCCCCTGGCCGCCCCCCCTCCTGGGCGTGAGTTCCTGTCTCTCCAACAGAAATCAACAAATAATTCTCGGTCTTTCCCCAAACTGAGCAACCGGGGTGTGGAGGAGGGATGGAGAGAGGAGGGTGGGGGTCGAACCCGCTGTTTTTTACTTTAAAAATTATATATTTTATGTCACAATCGCTTTTCGTTAAGACCACAAACATCCAATTTGGCTTGGCGTAATAAAATCAGCCGGAGCGCCCTTAAACGGAGCCATTCCGGTGAATTAAGTTGTGAAATCTAATCTATTATATCCATAAAGGAGAATGCTTTCATTGTAAATTCGGGTTATAAAGAAACTATACCTGGGCCGCCAGCCTCCCCTTCGGAGCTGCTACTTGGAGGCGATCAGGTTACTTCCCGGAGCCGGCGACCCTCTCCCGCGCTCCCGCCAACAGAAGTTCCATGTGGCCCCGTCCGCTTCCCTCGTCGGAGGCCAGACGCCGCCACGACCAGGGGCTTTAATTAAAAAGCCCCCCCTCCACCTCTTCTGTGTTCAAGGGCGCGGTTACTATTTTCTCCATTAATTCGAGTTTTTGAAACCCACACGGGCAGGACTTCCTTCCCCTTCCGTCTGTCCCCCCCGCTGCGGGGGGCTGGGCGCAGCTCCCGGGGACATGGCACGTGGGCGCCGGTGTTCCCAGCGCGCGCGCCTCCGGTCCGGAGCACGGGGCAGCGGGGCTCAGCCCCATCCGGTCCGAGGTCCCGACCCGCGGCCTGCGCACCGGGGCGGGGAACGGTGCCTGGAAGCGCGGGGTCTCCTCCGGCCTCAGGGCCCGGTTCCCAGGCCCAGGCGCGTTGGCTGGGCCAGACAAAGGAGTCGCCCGCGTAGGGGTTCACCCGCGCCCCCCCTCCCTCCTGGGCCCTCCCATCACTCCCTCCTGAGGCAGCCTGACACGGGAAATACCGCACCCTGGTATTTATTTGGTTCACAAGGGGGTGGCGGGCTTCCCTTCCTCCGACAGGGGTCTTGGGCCCCCCTCACTCACTGTCCAGATCCCCCCACACACCCCACGACAATATCTACTTCTGAGAGTTAACCGATTCCAGGCTTGGACCTGGGGCATCGTGCGCTGGCCAGAAGTGAGGGGGTACCCCAAGAACACTCTGCCCTCGCTCCGAAGAGGGGTGCTGGGGAGACAGCGAGGTCACCCAGTAGCTCCGAAATTCCCCGGTACCTTGGGGCCATGGCCTTTGTCAGGCCCCGAAGATTTACGAGGCGCCGGTGGAGTGGCGGCCAGGCCTGGCCTAGGCGGCCAGCGCACCCCGTTTTATCTTTGATTTCCATCTAATTATTTTTTTCCTGCCACTTTCAACTCCGAGTCTGGAGAGAGGAACAAAGGGAGGAGGGTGGGGGATGGGGCCGCCAGGCAGACGCGGGGGGATCGGTGGGGGTTCCCCCAGTGCGGCGGGGGGCCCTCGGCGCCCCAGGCCGGGGTGAGGCCCTTTCCACACTCGCTCTCCAGCTCGGCACCCCACAGCTGGGCTCGGAGAGCGGCGGCAACCCCCAGTGGGTTTAGCCCCGCATAGTCCGCACGGAACCCGGCGCGCCGCGGGCAAGCCTTCCGTCCACGCCCTTGGGCGGCGGGAGAAGGGAAACTTTCTTTCCCCGAAATTGCCGCGAAGGGGGCCGTGGAGGCGCTGGCCAGGCCGGGGTGCGCCCCGCAGCGCAGGCGGAGGCGGAGGCGGAGGGCGGCCGGTTCCATGCTCGCCGCTCGAAAGGGGTCCTCCGGGCGTGAGACAGGAGCGGGGCTGGCATTCTCCGTGCGCGTTTTTAAATCCAAAATGGAAAATCATCGTAGTGGCCGCCACCCACAAGTCCCCTAGAAACAAGGGAGCAGTGAGAATGCGGCTCCGGAGTCGGGAAACCGTCTACCTCCGGCGCCTTTTCCACCGGAACCCGGAGCCTTGGTGGCGGGAGCTCATTTCGGGAGAAGTGGGGTCCGCACCTTCGGTGGATGCGGGTCTGCGCCCGAGCGCCCCGCAGAGTGAGCGGGAGGCGCGCATCCGGGACCCCGCGCACCCCTCGCCCTGTCCCCGGACAATGGAAACCGAAACTGCGCGCTGTGCCCGGGAAGGGCCCTTCTCCCCCGGCGGTTAACCTCGGAGCGAGTGGACAGGGTCCCAGAGGCTGGGCGCCGGGACAGAGCCCACTCGGGCGGCCTTCTTCCCTTTCCAGCCCAAACTCCACGGGGCTTTGGGGGATGCGCGGGAACCGGGGCGAGGCCCTTTCCACAGCGCGCTCCGCTCCAGCCGCTCCCCAGTCAGCTCTTTCCTCTCGGCTCTTTGTTCCATGTTATTGGGGCGGGGGGGGGGGGGGCGGACACGGAATTACTTTCCCCTTTGACTCTCAGACCCTTCATTTCAACCTTCCCCGCGGCAGGTAAATTCACTCCAGGGGGGTCGTTCTCCCCCCGCCGCCTGGAGGCCAGGCCTCCAACTTCCCACTCCGGAGGCTCTCCTCTTCCTGAGTCTCCAAACACGACCCCCCAGTCCGAGCGTACGGTTACCTCCGGCCCTTAATCAGGGAGAAAGCCAAAGTGCATCCGCTCTCCTAAAGGCCCCCCGCCCCCCAGTAAAAGCGCGCCCTTGCCTCCGACCCTCTCCAATCCTCCCCTTTGTTGTAAAGATTCAATCCCGTCTTAGGGCGGGGGAAGGGGGAACCCTACAGGTTCACATGCCGATTTCTCCCCCAAAAAGACTCCCCAAGGACTTCTTTTGTTTGAAGTGGGCATGGGGGAGGGGAGGGAGGCCCCCTAACCCCTCAAAAAGCAAACCCCTGGGCGTCCCCTAATCCTCAGGTCCCCAGTTCCCGGGGCTGGGAGGGGTGGCTACTGGACAAGGGGAGCTGCGAGTCAGCAGGAGGCCAAGGTGGGGTCTCCCCATTCTGAGCTCCCTCCACCCCCCCCCCCCCAACCGGTTGGGGTGGGAGAGGCGGAGAGGAACAAAGCCCCACCGCCCGGCTGCGGGCCCAGGCAGAGGAGAAGCCAACGAACCTGGGGGAAGGGACGACCTTTTCCACGGGCGCCCTCCTCCCGCGCCCAGCCCCGACCTCCCGCCGGGACTGCGGGCGCACCGGGCGCTGTCTCCCCCGCCCAGCGGCCCTCCCGGAGCCCCGCAGGCAGACGCGTTGGCAGGAAAAGGCTCGGACACACCAGCCGGGTTTTTATTTGTTCCCTGAGCCGAGTGCGCCCCGGGCGCGCGGGAAACAAGGAAAACACACGTACCTGGCGGCGCTCCGAGGGCGGCCTGGGGGGCCCACCGCTGGCGGGGGACCCCCAGAAGCCACTCCCGCCCGGCCGGTCGCCCCACGCTGCGTCCCTCCCTCCCTGGCGATGCAACCCGCCGAGCCAACCCTGCCGGGAGCGCGAGCAGCTTCCAGTCCCGGCGCCGCGACCTTCCTCCGGCGCCAAGGCCCTCGCCTCCTCCCCGGGCGAGGGAGCGCGGAGCCTCCCCGCGGCCGCAGACCGGGCTGGGGCCTCCGACGCTGGAGAGCGGCGCGTCCCGATGCCGGGCTGCGGTACGGCTGCAGGTTCGGGCCCAGGAGCGTTCTTCTTGGGCCGGGCTCCCACCTTCCCACGTTCCCGCCGAGATGCGGAGACGGACGGACGCGGAGCCCTCGGGGAAAACGAGGCGGCGGCCGCGGTCCGGGCAGGAGCCCCCGGGCGGGAGGGGTGCCGGGCGGAGGGGCTGGCGGGCTCCCCGCGCCCGGCGGCCACCGCCCTCCAGGGGCGCCGTGCCCGCCCCCGCGGAGGCGCTCCGCCCCGGCTCCGCCCCGCGCCCAAGTCTTTCCGCAGCTCACGCCGCGCCGCTCCCTCCCGCCCCCCGTCCCCGCCCCCGCCCCCGCCGACCCCGCGCCCCGCGGTTCTCCCGCCTGCGCCCCAGCCGGGGGTGCTGCGCTCCTCCTTCCCCGCGCCGCGCCCGCCTCGCTTCGCCCCGCCCAATCACCGCCCGCCGCCACCGCTCCCTTTGTCTGGGCCGCGGGAGCGGGCCAATGGGGTTGCGCGGAGACGCGGGCGGTGAGCTTCTTGGCCAATGGGCGGGCCGCGCGGGCGGCGAGGGGCGGCGCCTCGCCCTGGGTGTCCGCGATCCCGCCTCGCATCCTCCCGAGCGCGCATCGCTGGGACTGCTGCTCGCGCGGGACGCCGGGGTGTTTGTTATGCGGCATCGCTGGGCAACAGCTGACTCATCCCCCCGACACACGGAATGGGCGCCAGGGAGCCGGTGACAAAGCCCGGAACGTGCCGCCTGCGGATCGCGGGCGGCGGACACGGTGAGCTGGGGAGAACCTGCCTCCCTGGTTCCGTCGGGGCACAACATGGAGGTGACGGCGCCGGAATGCGAGGCTGGCGGCCCATCCCCGCGCGTGGGGCCCATCCCCGCCGCGTTCCCGCGCGTCCCGGAAGCGAGGGCCTGTCTGCAGAGAAAGCCAGGCATTTGGGGTCGCAGCTGGGCCTCGCCTTGATCCTTAGGAGTTTATGTATCCTACACATTTTCACAAGGATATGTTATTTATATATTCAGGGGGCAAAAAGCAACAAAAATTAAATTTAAAAACTGTCCAAAAGCCCTAGTCGGTTTGGTTCCGTGGATAGAGCCTCGGCCTGTGGACTGAAGGGTCCCGGGTTCGATTCCCCATCAGGGCACATCCCCGGTTGGGGCAGCAGGAGGCCCCGTGATGAGATTCTGTGTCATCACTGATGTTTCTCTCTCTCCCCCAATCTCTTCCTCTCTGAAGTCAATAAAAATATATTGGGGGGGGGACTTTCCAAAAGTCAGCTAGATATTCTGGGATATAAAACATTTGGACACTGGCCGAAACCGGTTTGGCTCAGTGGATAGAGCGTCGGCCTGTGGACTGAGGGGTCCCGGGTTCGATTCCGGTCAAGGGCATGTACCTGGGTTGCGGGCATATCCCCAGTAGGAGATGTGCAGGAGGCAGCTGATCGATGTTTCTCTCTCATCGATGTTTCTAACTCTCTATCTCTCTCCCTTCCTCTCTGTAAAAAAATCAATAAAATATATTTAAAAAAAAAAAAAACATTTGGACACTGAAATAAAAATGGTCCACAGGCGGGCGGTGCAGTATCACAGACACGGCCAGGCCTGGAGGGAGTGAGCTGGTGGTCACCCAGGAGAACTGTCTGAAACACGGGGTAAACCGTGCAAGACGTCACCACGCAGGAAGGAAAAGTGAAGCAGCAACATGGGAAATAAGCCCATAGTTTCCTGAGTCGCGTTACTTAAAAGGAACCCCAAGGTCAGAGGCCGCAAGGCAAAGGCAGTAGGAAAACCACCTAGAAGTCCCATGACATCGCATTATTTTTGTAATAAGTTTTTAAATGTTTTAATTGATTTTAGAGAGGAGAGAGAGAGAAACATTGATGTGAACAAACCCACACCCTGGGCCGGGAGTCGAACCGGCGACCTTTCGGTGCCCAGGAATGTCAACCAACAGCAGCACCCGCCGGGGCCGTGACGACAGTTTAGAACAGAAAAGGCTTCAACACAACCTCCAGGGAGAAAACACAGGTGACGGCCAAGGACAGACCAGGAAGGAACGGCACGGCCTGGATGGCTGGGCTCCCAGCTGTGGGGCAGCTTCGGGGTCTGGAGGAGGGTGAGGGTGCCCGTGCGTCTCTGCCCGGCCAACCGCTCCGTGGGGAGGAAAACCGAACCCTTCCTCGGTCACGCCGGGTGCTGGGAGCCTGTCTTTCCAACAAGCACATCTGAAGTGACGCCACATTGGACACTCGCACGAGACCGGCGTGGACACCAGAGGAGGCCCGGGACACAGGAGCCAAAACGCTTTCTACCAGGGACAGGCCGGAACCGCTCTCGGCAGTCGGGAAGCCCGTGACCTCATCCTGGCGCTGTGTGTGTGTGTGTGTGTGTGTGTTTGGGGGGGGGGGGTGTCAGTGCGGGGGGCTCGAGGGAAGTAGAACTGGGAAGCCCTGTGTCTTCTTCCTGATGGCACAGTTTGGGTGCTGATTGCTGTTGTTAATCCTCACTCTCGGATACTTGGATATTTTTCCATTGATTTTTAGAGAGAGTGGAAGGGAGGGGGAGAGACAGAGAGGAACATGGATGTGAGAGAGACACACCGATTGGTTGTATCCCACACACGCCCAGACCAGGGCCGGGGATTTAGCCTGCAACCGAGGTACATGCCCTTGCCAGGAATCAAACCCGGGACCCTTCAGGCCGCGGAACCACGCTCTATCCACTGAGCCACACTGGCCAGGGCTCGATACTGAGTCCTTCTGGACCGGGGTGGGGAGAGATGCGCTCAGATATGCACATCAGAAGGTTAGTCAGCCCTCGGCGAATAGAGAGACCGAGGAAAACCTCCCAACGGTGAGCGGAAACAGAATCAGGACAGACAGCTGCCGTGTCTCACGGGGCAGGAAACAGGGCGGAGGGCGCCGGGAGCACAGGACACGGCGAGGAAACAGATGGAAGCCGGGCCCCAGGCGCGGTGTGAGTGCGCGGTCATCACCACACACGCTGCGGGCCCAGTGCACACTCAGGGACAGAGCCGGCGCTCAGGACAGACGGACACAGATTCCACTCCAGGCCCTGCACCCCCCAGGCTGCCCCAGGGCTGGGCGGGGCCCCAGGACCGCCCCGGACAAAGCTGTGGACAGCCAGGCCAGGCCGGGAGCTGGGGTGGGACAGGACCCACCTTGCTGCTCGCTGACCTCTGAGCACAGGTTCACGGCCTTCGGTTCTGCATCTGCGACTTTGCTGAAATGACGGCTATTTCCGAATCAGGCTGCGTCCTCGCGGACTCTCCGAGAACCGTTTCTGGTCGCCGGGCCAGCAAAGTGGGGCCCCTGGAATGAAGAGGCACAGTGCCACCATGTCTGCGATGTTTATATACACGTGCGCACAACACGTGAGCCATGTATGACGTTCACGGTGCATTTCCCTATAACTGGCTTCCTTTCCAACCCGATAAGGTTTATGTATTTAAAAACTTCATTCCGGCCTGGCTGGCGTGGCTCTGCGGTTGGACCAGGAGGTTCGATACTGGTCCAGGCAAATGTCCGTGTTGTGGGCTCGATCCCCACTGCGGGGGGGGGGGGGGGGGGTGTGCAGGAAGCAGCCCATCCATGATTCTCTCTCATCACTGATGTTTCTGTCTCTCTCTCCCTCTCCCTTCCTGAAATCAATCAATAAATATATATTTTTAAAAACTTTATTCTGAGGAGGGGCCCACAGCCTTCGCCAGGGAGGTCCAGGCCAATTATGGGGATTCTGCGGCTGAGGCCGGATGGGCTGGCTGGTCCCGGGCCAGCTCTGCTCATTGGTCATCGCACCAAGACACCCTCCAGTTGTCCGCCCTGATCCGTGCCCCCCCCCCCCGCCCCCCGCCCCGCACCGAGTGGAAGGAAGGACCCTGGTCTGGGAAACAGTTCGGCTTCCGAGCTGCCAGCTCCGCACTTGCCCACCTCTGTCCCCCACATCACATCACATCGTCGGTGCCCGTTTGAGGCAGCGTTCCCGCCACCTGCACCCCCACCGCAGCCGCACGGGAAGTGAAGGAAGGAAGGAAGGGACGACACCAGCCAGACACCAGCCAGCGGCCTGTCCCCCAGCCGGGCCTGGCGCCCGGGCGCGCGTGCAGGAGGCGAGAGCCGGGCTGAGCCCTGGAGAAATGCGGACGGAGCTGCGGGCTGGTCCCTTTGCACAAGGAGGGAGGCTTTGCGGCAAAGTTTCCAGGTGCGTCCGTGGTGACGGCTGCGCAGCATTGGGAATGTTCTTTTTTCTTCTTTAAAATATATTTTTATTGGTTTTAGAAGAAGGGAGAGGATGAGAAACATGGATGTGAAATCAGAGCATCCATCCAGCTTCCTCCTGGCCCCCCCCTCCCCGGGGACCGAACCCAAAACCTAGCCCTGTACCCTGACCGCAACCTTGTGGTGCATGGGACGCCGCCCAACCAGCCAAGCCCCCCGCACCCCCCCCCCCCCCCCGCCGGGGCGTGAGTGGTGTTAATTGGACGCTTAAAAGCGGTCAGAACGGCCCTGGCCATTTTGGCTCAATGTGAGAGCGTCGGCACTTGGACCAAAGGGTCTCGGGTTCGACTCCCAGTCAAGGGCACATACCTGGGCTGCAGGTTTGATCCCTGGCCCTGTTGGGGCACATACAGGAGGCAACCAATCGATGCGTCTCTCACATCAATGTTTCTCTCTCTCGCTCTCTCTCTCTCTCTTCCCCTCCCCCTCCCTTACACTTTCTCTAAAAATCAATGGGAAAAATATCTCGGTGAAGATTAACCCGAAACGTCAGGGATAACACAGATTTGAGCACGTAACCCACCAGATCTACGCGATGGACCTTGGTGACCAGTGAGCAGAGACCACGGTTTCCACCGAGGCCGGAGCCTTCACTGGGCACCGAAGACATCGGGTGAACTCACAGCAGAGACCACACGTCCCCTGTCTCTGAGGCAATGGAATCGCTGGGAAGGAAGAGGAAGGCGACAGAATAGAGAATGCACCCCGCCCCCCAGGCTCCAGGACAGCCTCCTGAGGGACTCGGCTGCAGAAGGAAATCAAAATAGAAATCGCAAACTATTTATAAACGAAGAAACAATGGGAACACTGTCTCAGCCCACACGTCCCGGAGGAGAGGCGGACACTGTCCCCGCAAGAAAAGCTATTGGGCAACAAGAAAGCTTGGACAGAAACAGACAGGTTTTAATTGGAGACATTTAATAAAACAAGGAAATCCCAGCACTGGTGAGGGTTTCTGCATCGGCCTCTGCAGAGGCAGCCGGGCGGCCAGCTCTTCGCTTCGTCCACTCTGGGCTCTTAGGAGCCTCCTGGGCCTCGGGCGCGCACACATCTGGTCTGATCCCTGGACATTTTGGTCAAACCTGCGGTCGGACCATCGGGCCTGTGACTTTTTTTTTTTTTAATCCTCACCCGAGGATTTTGTTTTTTTTCATTGATTTTCAGAGAGAGGGAAAGACAGAGAGAAACACATTGATTGGTTGCCTCTTGCAGGAGCCCTGACCAGGGCGGGGCCGGGGAGGAGCCTGCAACCCAGGTACATGCCCTGAGCCAGAATCAAACCCGGACCCTTCGGTCTGCAGGCCGATGCTCTATCCACTGAGCCACACCCACTAGGGCTGGTGACACCGTTATGGATAGAGTCCTG